AGATTGTATTAAAATAATAGCTTTAAAAAAATGTATTAAAATAGTGAAATTGAAATTATATATGAATCCTTCTATTATAGCCAAAGCACAAGTATATTCTACAATAGTAGATACAAACAAAAATTATCTCATAATAAATATAAACAATTAAGTATACAAAGTCATCTATACCTACATATTATAATAATGATCGTTATAGGGCATAAATAGAGCTACTAAGTACTACCGTAGAAAGAAAGTCGTTTTGAGCATCCTGAATTATTGTACATTCTCAATTGTTATGCCAACTTTTTAGAGAGAGTATATAATTCAACAAATAACAATTCCCACCAATTGAATGTCGTACCAAAGAGGAGATACACCATATCTCAAGAGTAATTTTCTTAATTATTAATGTCATATTTTTAATTTTAATTAATTATTATATATTTTATTTTATTAAAAAATAAAAATATAAAATTTTAAAAATTATATAATATAAAAATATAATAAAAAATTATATTAAAAAATAATATTAACTATTATTATGTGATAATAACCTCACCCATATTTCAAAGATAAAAATTAACAGAATCCTGTGTTACAGTTCGCCTCGTAGCGGACTGTAACATTAGGACCCTTCAAAAGGGGAGGGGAGGACCCAATATTAGGGGGCCCTCTCCCTTTGAGTGGTGATGATGTAGTGGACTCTAACACAATTTTTTGAAAAATTAATATATAGATTTAACTTTTTTCTTTTGAATATTAGGAGTGAGACTCAAACCCAACACCTACCAAACTTAGCATGAAAAGTTTTTTACAAATTAGAGGTAGTCATTAACCCATGAGAACATTCTCATACAGATCTAACTTTTAAGTGATGAAAGTTAAGATATTAATATTTTTATTTCTATACTCATAGTTGTTCTTATTCTAAAGATGATTAAAAGGTTTGGTTTGATTGATTGTTAAGGGGGGATAGCAACAATATATCCATTATCAACGGAATTGGGACCGAAAGCAGCTTTTGTTAGGTTTGTGAACTAATTTCAACTCACCCTAATTATTAAAGTTTGAATTGTATGGTGAAACAATTATGTCTCATTTAAATGGGTGTGATTATATCCAATTGTTATGGTTATGTAAATTA